AGCAATTCTCATGCCCCAGCCACCAAGTAGCTGGGATTACAGGTGTGTGCCACCATACCTGGTTAAGGTTTTGTATTTTTAGTAGAGACAGGGATTCACCATGTTGGCTAGGCTGGTCTTGAACTCCTGACCTCAAATCGTCCACGTGCCTCGGCCTCCCAAAGTGCTGGGATTACAGGAGTGAGCCACTGTGCCCAGCGGCCAATGGATACTTTTAGCCATAAAAGTATGGGTCATGGCATTATACCTGGGTCATGGCATTATACCTCTCTCCCTATGGGAGTCCAGAGATCTCTGAATGTGAACTCCTATGCAGTGACATTCTTTGAAACCTATTTGTGTTGTCTCAACATTTGGTTCCGTTTCACACACACAGTCTAAGCACCCACTCCATTGCCAGATCTGTGCATCCATCTCCAGTCCGTTCGCCTGTTTGCTTTTCTTCCCTTTAAAGTTGTAAGGGGGCTTAGAAGTCATGTATCCTGAGGTCCTTGATAGGCAGGTGCAGAAATAAGATCCTGGGAGGTAAAGTGATGAGTCAAGGGCTCAGTGCCAGTGTGGAGCATGGCCTTGCCACATGGCCAGAGCTCTGTCTGGCAGCCTTTGGGGTTTGGAGATAGTCATACTAACCACAGAATCCAGTCCTTGAGTGTTTGCCACATGTTGGTGTGCTGCGAAGTGCTTTCCAGCTTTCCATGATTTCCCTTGTTTAATTCTGAGAGCATTCCTTAGAGCAGGTACCATTGTTGTTGTTACCACTGCCTCTTTTTACAGAGAGCATTAAGACCCAGAATAACCAGGATGCTTCGCCGAAGTCAGACATATAGTATGTAGCAAAGCTGACATTCCCTCTGGTTCTATGGGAACCTGAAGGCTATGCCCTCTTCTGTTTTGCATAATATGTAAGAGCACTTACAAATCTGAGACAGGCAGCTGGTTCTACAATTTAAAAAAAAAAAAGAATGAAATGTAAGGTTAAAGAAAGAATGCCAGCCATTCTTTTTACTTTACCTTTCATTCATTTTTAAAAACTTGTTAAAATATATCTCATCTAAAATTTACCATTTAACTTTGTTTTGAGACGGAATCTCACTCTGTCACCCAGGCTAGAGTGCAATGGTGCCATCTCGAATCACAGCAACCTCTACCTCCCGGGTTCAAGCAACTCTCCTGTCTCAGCCTCCTTGAGTAACTGGGACTACAGGCACCTGCCACCATGCCTGGCTAATATTTGTATTTTTGTAGAGACGAGGTTTCACCATATTGGTCAGGCTGGTATCGAACTCCTGACCTCAGGTGATTCAACCACCTAGGACTCTCAAAGCTGGGATTACGGTCATGAGCCACTGTGTCTGGCTTAACTTTTTTTTTTTTAAATAGAGTCTTCCTCTATTGCCCAGGCTGGAGTACAATGGTGCAATCTTGGCTCACTGCAATCTCCACCTCCCGTGTTCAAGCGATTCTCGTGCCTCAGCCTCCTGAGTAGCTGGAATTACAGGTGTGTACCACTATGCCTGGCTAATTTTTATATTTTTCACAGAGACAGGTTTCACCATGTTGGTCAGGCTGGTCTCCAACTCCTGACCTCAGGTGATCCACCTGCCTTGGCCTCCCAAAGTTCTGGGATTACAAGTGTGAGCCACCACACCCAGCCACCATTTAACCATTTTTAAGTGTGTAGTTCAGTGGCATTAGGTACAGTCACACTGTTCTGCAACTGTCACTACCATCCACCCCAGAACTTTTTTCATCTTTCCAATATAAAACTCTGTACTCATTAAACAATAGCTCCCATCTCCTCCCTGTGTCCCATCCCCCAGCAACAGCCCTTGGTAACCACCATTCGACTTTCTGTCTTGATGAATATATATATATAAATAAATATATATATATATATATATATATATAGTGTTTTTTGAGATGAAGTCTTGCTCTGTTGCCCAGGCTAGAGTGCAGTGGTGCAATCTTGGCACACTACAACCTCCACCTCCCGGGTTCAAGTGATTCTTGTGCTTCAGCGAGCATCTTAAGCAGCTGAAATTACAGGCATGTGCCACCACACCCAGCTAATTTTTGTATTTTTAGTACAGATGAGGTTTCCCCACGTTGGCCAGGCTGGTCTCAACCTCCTGGACTCAAGTGATCTGCCTGCCTTAGCCTCCCAAAGTGCTGGGATTTACAGGCTTAAGCCACCACTCCCAGCTATGATGAATTTTACTAAATACCTTATGCCGGTGGGAGTATACAGTATTTTTCCTTTTGTGACTGGCTTATTTCAGTTAGCATAATGTCCTCAAAGTTTATACATGTTGTAGCATGTAGCCTGTGTCAGAATGCCTTCCTTTTGAATGCCAGACAATGTTCCATTGTATGTCCATAACCACATTCTATTTCCATTCATCTGCTCATGGACACTTGAGCTGCATCCACCTTGTGTTAGTCTGTTAGGTCTTCCATGACAAATACCACAGACTTGGAAGCTTAAACAACAGAAATGTATTCTTTTTTCACAGTTCTAGAGACTGGAAGTCCACGATCAAGGTGCCAGCAGGGTTGATTCCTCCTGAGCCTCTCTCCTTGGCTTGCAGACGGTTGCCTTCTGATTGTGTCTTCACATGTCCTTCTTTCTATCTCCCTGGTGTCTGTTCCTCATCTAACCCTAATTACCTCTTTAAAGGGGCTATCTTCAAATACAGTATCATTGGGGGTTAGGGCTTTGACATATAAATTTTGAAAAGACACAATTTCATGCCAAACACACTTCTTGGTTATTGCGAGTAATGCTGCCATGAGCATGGGTACTTGAATATCTGTTCAAGTACCTGCTTCCAATTGTTTTGGCTAGATACTCAGCAATGAAATTGCTGGATTATATGGTAATTCTATTTTTAATATTTTGGGAGTCCATCAGGCTGTTTTGCATAGTGGCAGCACCATTTACATTCCCATGGCGTTTTGTTAATCTTCAGAGTAGTTTTGCTCTTTTTGAGAGGCCACTGATTTCCTATGTCCTGCAGTAGGAAACTTCCCTGGAATCTTTCTGTTTGCCTCCCAGCGGCTTGTTTACTGAATACTAAATCCTCCCAGAAACTTGGTGTCCCTGCTCCTTCTGCAGCTCCTGTCAACAACCTCAGTTATCGGTTCCACACTCAACTACTAGGAAAACATCCCAGAACAGAGGAGGAAGCCAAAAAAATGTCCTGGTCTTACACAGGTGCTTCATGTGAGCTATGGACTCTCAGGCCGCAGCTTTTAGGAGGTCTGTGCTGGATCCCGCCCTGTCTCTGGGCATGGCAGATCCTGAACTTGCCTAGGCACCTGCTGCTTTCAGAATGATGATGAGACAATAGATTTTAGACATCCCTCAGCAAACAGCTTTTAAAACACTACTGTAGGTTCATACTCACATCAATGGAATGGATCAGGGATGTGCTTAGGACGTGGTCCTGCATGGAAGGGAGGAATTGGGGTGTGAGATATGTTCGTGGATGTTTATGTGAGGAAAGCTGTGAAGGTGTGCATGTAGCAGGGGTGTGTGTAATAGCATGTGAAGGCATGGGGGTTGGATGTGGGTATGTGTTGGGGGCGGTGGGTGGGTGTGCCTGGGTATGTGTGGAGTAGGCTGGAGGTTTCCAGGGCTGGATGTGAGAGTCAGAGGTGTGTGTGGGGGAAGAGTGTGTGTATGTGGAAGGTGGGGTGTTTGTAGGTGTGGGGAGTAGGAATGAAAGTATGGAGGTTTGGTATGAGGGTCTGTGTGGAGTAGGTGAGGGGTAGGTATGAGATTACATGTAGGATGGAGGTGAGCACTAGGGACTGAGTGTGTGTGTGTGTGTGTGTGTTTGTAGTAGAGGATGAGGGTGTGTATGTGGCAGGGGTGAGGCTGTGGAGTGGGCGTGATGCTGTGTAGGGAAAAGGATATGCAGAGGGTAGGGTGTGAGTAGGTGTGTGTGTGTGCCTGTGTGTGTTGGAGGGTCCTACCAGGGAAAGGACCAGTGACTCTGCTCCTCTGCTCCTGGTGCCCACCCCTGCTGGAGCTGGGAGGGTAAAAGAGCAGCTGAGACTTGCAGAACCTTCTTGTGGAGAGGGAGAGAGCCTGGCCAGGGATTCAGGCTGACTCACTTTCACCTGGTCGGGGGAATTAATTTGCTGGCATCTGCATCATGGCAGGATGCATGCGTCAGTCTGTATGACTTTGTTCTTATTAAGAATCATGGGAGAAATTTAAAATGAGAAATAAAGAAAGTGGGTGGGAGGTTATGCTGAGGGCTGTGAAAGATAAATTGCTTCTCCCTCAGTTGCTGGGTTATGCTAAATGACCAAGGTCATCTCCCTCCACCCTCTTCTCTCCCCCTGTTCTCATGTGAGAGAAGTAACTTTAGAAGACACACACACACACACACACACACACACACACACACACACACGCAGATGTGGATTAAGGAGCCTCAAAGCCCCTCCCTCCCAGATGCCAGGCAGCCTCTGCTGCAGTAACTCTTTGTACACTGCGGTTTGCTGCAGTCTTTGCCTTGGAGGGACGGTGGCTTTTATGAATGGTAGCCTGGGAGGGACCTAATGTCCTCTGCTTCCTGATGTCAGCACAGTGAATGAAACTCTTGCAAAGCGTAAAGCCTCAAGCACCCGGGAAGCAGATATCTTTTCAGATTGGTTCTTCAGATGCAGCGTCTCTTGCTGACGAAATCACGAGTCCCATGTGTCACAGATAAGCCATATACGTTAGGATTTAAACAAGGCAGAAACAGCCTGCAGGTGGAATGATGCGCATATGATTCTGGCACAACCAGTTCTTTCCCTAAAGCAGCTGTTGTCACCACCCCTTCCTGCCAGGCAGTGGAGGAAGGTGCTTGCAGGAGCTGCAGACGCACCGTTGTGTGCTAGGCATCTACTCAGCTGGCCTCATGTTCTGCTTTTGCTGGCAGAATTCCTTGCTGAAGCTCCAAGCCCTTGAATCTGATCTGTGCTCTGCATTTTTAACAAACCAGGAAGAAGCTGCTCAGGTGCATGGAGTCAAGGACCCAGCCCCAGCATCGACCCAGAGTGTGCCTGCTGATGGGGTGGATTCTGCAGGTAAGAGCAAGGCTGGGGGTTGTCCCAGATTGTACTCTTAACGGGAGTTCAGTCTCTTGCTGCTTCACAATCAGCCTGAGCCCCTGAGGGAAAATGGTGCCTGGGGCAACATGAAAGCCCCAAAGGTGTTTCTCAGTTGTCCCAGAGGAGCTGAGGGGGAGTAAGAAGAATTGGGATTTGCTGTAGCATAGAGCTGTGGAGCTGGGACCAAGAGACACACTTACGCAAATGGGTGTCAGGTGAAAGTACCCATCACAACTTCTAGTCTTCATTTTCCCATTTGGTCTCCTGGGACAAATGAGTGCTATGCTTATTTTATATTACTGGACCTAGATAATCTGTGCTGTCTTGAAACTCTTCTTTTTGATGTGTTGAGGATGGGGAAGTTTCCACACTGCTGCTTCCTTTCCACTGTTAACTGCTTCTAAGATGATCCACTCATGCAGGAAAAATGGGGATGAGTGCTCCACCAATAGCTCGTTCTGATCCTGTATTGCCTTGTTATATCTCCATTGTTTTTTTCATTAATTTCCTTGTCAGAAAGTCCCAAACTGGGTCTCAATTTTCTGTTAGTCTCTCTGGCTTTAATTCTGGGATGGTAGATTGGCTAGCCAACAGCGGGCAAATTAATCTTCCCAGGAATATTTGGAGAGGAAAGAAACACTAATTTTTTAAGTGAGAGCACAAATTATGTTTTCTAACATGAAGAGGTCATAGGCTTGCAGACTCATTTCCAAATGAATGATAGAAATAGACTTAGGTGAGCTTTCTTCATGAGAGGTCCTTAGTCTCTAGGAGTTGAAGGAAAAGATTTACAAAGGTAATCTGTTTCAGTACCATTAGCAATACTACATTTTAGATACTCCTGTTGAAAGCTGATCTCATGAATATATACACCTACTGTGTGCCCACACAAATTAAAAATAAACAATTTTAAACATTTTTAAGAGAAGAAAAGAAAACAAGAAAGAAAACAAACCCACATAGTCTAAGCAGGCAAATCAGTACTCTCCAGTGTTGGAATGTGTATTAATAATGGTAGCATATAATAGCTACTAGTAGTAGTTACTATGATTATTCAAAACTTCTATGATCCTGGCACTGTTCTAAGTACTTTTTGTGCATTATATTATATTCTTAAACTGACCTGTGAAGTACTACCATTCATCGTAACACACTGAAGCCTAGCGTAGCATTGCTGGTGAGTGGTACATTGTTTCCCTATGGATGTAGGTGGTTAGTTGTAGGATGTAGGTGGTTAGTAGTCTTTGTTGCCCAGTGAGCTCTCCTGCTCTTTTGGCCATTATGTTTGAATGAGTGGTGAATAAAATTGAGCAGGAGCCAATCTTAGACCAATTAGTGATTTAAGACAGATTATTTAGACAACATCCCTTTTCTTCCCTCAATACCATATTCCGCTCCCTGCAAACAAACAACATATTTAATGCAAAACACATAAAGAAGTCTCAAGCCAAGTAGAAGTTAACTGTTGAGTTATTTGGATTAACTATGCTGAACACTTTGTCAAGTGTTCAGTAAAATATTTGTTGCATGTTGGATATGGATACATTTCTTCTTCTTCATCATGACTTTTATGTGTCTTCCCAACAATTAAGAATCGTTTTGGATTTTCTCATTTGGCATGGGCAATATTTTGTATAAGCTTATTACTACTTGTTATAAAATAAAAATAAATACAGGATTTATGCAGGGATTGCTCACACAGAGGAGCTAGTAATACATTCCATGTTAAATATCAAATGGCAAAGATGTGCAGAAGGTGTTTTAGAGGGGAGGCTTGTGGGTTGCATGCTGGATTTTCCAAACTGTAGAGGAATCTGAAATGTCTCAGAGCTCTCCCCAGACAATCTAGAAAACTAGACTGTAGAGACATCTATAAAACTGATGTTTTCAGGGACCTATGGTCTCTTCATTTATCACTACAAAGTGACAGGCATTTTTAAGATGCCTTTGTGACTTAAATTATGGGATAGTTTGGTCTCATTGGCTTCTAAGGTGCGCTCTTATAGGAAGGTCATGCATTTTCTAATCCATGCATCACTCAGGGAAGAAATTTATTCTTAGATCCATGGTTCTTAACTCAGGGATGGATTTCTAGAATGATCTTTGGACCCCTTAAAACATTAGATTTTTTCATGTTAGTTCTGATGAGAGGGTGATTGTATTATATGAACACAGATGGCTAAAAGTCTACAAAAGATTATAGAAGCTTAAAAATAGTCTTCTCTTTCTTAATATCTAACATTATCCCTAACCTTACATGTATATAAATATTCAAATGATAATTGTTGTAAAAATTCAATTAGTAATTGTTGATGTCAATAACATGGACACTATCCAACAAGTGATTTTTATAAGAATACCCAGATATAATATTATGCTGCCACTTAACCATAAATAGCAAACATTCATAAGTATAAATTCACGTGATGTAGTAGGTTTCAAATTCACTATAGACTTGATTGGCTTTTACTTGAGTTTATGGGTTACTAAGATCAGTTCCACCTCGTAAGATACTTGACATACTCTCCTGTCCTAAACACCCAGCTGTAAACTGGATATGCAGCAAGAACACACTTTATGGCACCCCTGGGGACACTATTCTAGATACTGTTCCAGAACCTTCTTACAGATTGTAATTACCAGGAAGCTTTTCCAACATGGAGATTTTCTGGCATCCTCTCTAGACTGTCTGAGATGAAAGTCCGGGAACCTGTGTATTTCATAAATACTCCCACATAATGGAACCACACTGGTCAAGTGGACAGTGTCTTGAATTGAGACAGAATGTCAAGGTCTCTCTGACTCTGCTCTACCTCAATTTTGCCAACAGGAAAATGCTCACAGGTCACGTGGGACTTATAACTCAGGGTCTGTGGCCAGTTGGCTCCATCTACTTATTTCAAGAGGAGAAAGTCCACAGGTTGGGAGTGAGTAGGATGGGGATATAGACAGATTTGAGATATCAAGGCCCTTAGAGAAAAATCATGGGGAAGAAATCAGCTGCAAGGCAGCTTGGGGACATACAAAGGGTAATGAACTGGCTCGGTTTGCACAGATTTGTCCTACTTTTAGCACTAAATGTCCCACATGCTAGGAAATATTCACTTCCAGGTATTCCAGGACAGTTGGCCCAACTTATAGATTGCAAACCACAACCCGTGAGTCTGAATCTTTGTGCTTTCCCAACAATTTATTAAAATGTCTGTTGACATATAATTTCCAATGTGATGATATTTGGAGTTGGGACCTTTGGAAGGTGATTAGGCCATGGGATTAGTCCCCTCATAAGAGTCCAGAGAGCTAGCTTGCCCTTTCTTCCATGTGAGGCTATAAGAAGTCGGCCCCCTGTTAACTGGAAGAGAGCTCTCATCAGAAGTCCACCAGGCTGGCACCTGCTCTTGGATTTCCAGCCTGCAGAACTGTGAGAGATAAATTTCTCTTGTTTATAAGCCACTCAGTCTATGATAATTTGTTATAGCAGCCAGAAATGACTAAGGCAGAAACCCACATAATAGGCTTAAAATACCTGTAACTCTGTCAATATCTTCTTATAGCTGAAGTAAATATTTCCAGCATGGAATTGGTAAGTACCTATTCTGATGTGGTTGAATGGAAAATGGAATGAGGATTGTCTTGTCAACTGCTTGTCATTTTAAAGTGTGCAGAAGGACTGTCCATGTTCTACATGACTCAGCATAATAACCTTTGTTCTGTCTGACCAGGGATGTATGATGGTTTGGAGTTTTAGCAAAAACTGTAACCATAGATAACTGGATACCTGTTACTAGAAATAATAATTCCATAGCAGTACTTTATTGTATTTTTCTAAAATCTTGATTTTCAAGTTGAACTTTCAATTTAGGTAAGACACTAATGTCGTATGTCTATTTACAGTCTACAATTATTCTCATGCAGATTCTGCATTATCTATAGGTCTCTTCCAAAGTTGAAGTTGACGTAGGTCAGAGTCAACCAGGACCTGACTTTTTTGTTCATATTTCCAGACACTGTCCCCTTGACCAGAAACTTTTAACTAGTTGGAAATGCTTACTAAACTTACAGATGTCTGAAATCCCTACCTTAAAATGAAAAATTAAAACATAAAGATGAGGTTTGAGAATCCCCACATTGGAAAAGCTCCCTGTGTGATTCTGAAGTATAAGGAGGTTCGGTAATACTTTATAGAACATGGTACCACTCCAGGGTTGACATGAAATATGTTCCTGCTACGGGTGCAATTTACAAATGGATTTCTAGAACAGGAAAGCATTTTCAGGTATCCTTCTAGGAGCATCTGATTATCCATATAACTTGATATTTCAGCCTATGTGGGGCCAGATAGTCTTTGAAAGTCAGTAAGAGGCGATCTTCATTCAACCTCAGAAGGGCACAGAATTTCCAGTTAGAAACTTAATTCATTATGGTGTGTGTGTGTGTGTGTGTGTGTGTGTGTGTGTGTGTGTGAGAGAGAGAGAGAGAGAGAGAGAGAGAGAGAGAGAGAGAGAGACAGACAGACAGACAGAGACAGAGACTTGTAAAACCTTCTAGAGCCTTTATATATATTTAGGATGTACCAGCTGAAAAATGGCTACCATTATGGAAAGTAGTACTTCACTTATTTGTCTTAAGTTGGTTCTTTTAAAATAGAGGTTTTCAGCTGGGCGCGGTGGCTCAAGCTTGTAATCCCAGCACTTTGGGAGGCCGAGGCGGGTGGATCACGAGGTCAAGAGATCGAGACCATCCTGGTCAACATGGTGAAACCCCGTCTCTACTAAAAATACAAAAAATTAGCTGGGCATGGTGGCACGTGCCTGTAATCCCAGCTACTCAGGAGGCTGAGGCAGGAGAATTGCCTGAACCTAGGAGGCGGAGGTTGCGGTGAGCCGAGATCGCGCCATTGCACTCCAGCCTGGGTAACAAGAGCGAAACTCCGTCTCAAAAAAAAAAAAAAAAAAAAAAAATAGAGGTTTTCAATT